TAACTGGTGTCTCACACCTCTATGTGATCTAACTGGTGTCTCACGCCTCTATGTGATCTAACTGGTGTCTCACTCCTCTATGTGATATGACTGGTGTCTCACACCTCTATGTGATCTAACTGGTGTCTCATGCCTCTATGTGATCTAACTGGTGTCTCACACCTCTATTTGATCTTACTGGTGTCTCACACCTCTATGTGATCTAACTGGTGTCTCACACCTCTATGTGATCTAACAGGTGCTACAACTGTATAGGTTGTTCCACACCTGTTGTCGTATCTGTACATTCTGTTTATGTTGTCAAGACACCTGTATGTCTTGTTTCACAACTGTGTTAATGGTCTAACACCTTCAAATGCATTACTATAACACTCATGACAGAGAAGATTGAATTCAGTTTTGTTGATACAGGTGAATTGTAAATGTAATCGTTCTACTTTCAGTAATTATGACATCAATTACGGGCATTCTTCTGTCAACAATGCTGATGCCACAAAGACCACACCAAGAGGAACACCAAGGGAAACTCCCTGGGGAACCCCACGAGGGAACAACTTAAACTATGGTGCCACAAATACTGGGAGTTTCACAGGGAGAGTGGCAGGATATGGGTCACCATCAACTGGAGCCAATCAGGGTGTCCAGAACCCAGGCTACCAGAACCCAGCCGAGTGATGGTACTATACAAAATATATCTCCTAATATCTGGACTGATTTGATACTTATTTCTAAATATCTAGACTGGTCTATTACTTTTCCTGATATCTGGACTGGTCTGGTACTTCTCTCCTGATATCTCGACTGGTCTGCTACTTCTCTCCTGATATCTGGACTGTTTTGATACTTATTTCTAAATATCTAGACTGGTCTACTACTTCTCCTGATATCTGGACTGGTCTGGTTCTTCTCTCCTGATATCTGAACTGGTCTGGTACTTCTCTCCTGATATCTGGACTGATTTGATACTTATTTCTAAATATCTAGACTGGTCTATTACTTTTCCTGATATCTGGACTGGTCTGGTACTACTCTCCTGATATCTGGACTGGTCTGGTACTTCTCTCCTGATATCTGAACTGGTCTGCTACTTCTCTCCTGACATCTGGACTGGTCTGCTACTTCTCTCCTGATATCTGGACTGATTTGATACTTATTTCTAGATATCATGACTTGTATTGTACTTTTTCTGATATCTGGACTGGTCTGGTACCTCTCTCCTGATATCTGGACTGGTCTGGTACTTCTCTCCTGATATCTGGACTGGTCCGGTACTTCACTCCTGATATCTGGACTGGTCTGGTACTTCACTCCTGATATCTGGACTGGTCTGGTACTTCTCTCCAGTTATCACCACTGGTCTGGTACTTCACTCCTAATATCTGGACTGGTCTAGTACTTCTCTCCAGATATCTGGACAGGTTTGATACTTATTTCTAGATATCACGACTGGTCTAGTACTTCTCTCCTGATATCTGGACAGGTTTGATACTTATTTCTAGATATCACGACTGGTCTAGTACTTCTCCTGATATCTGGACTGGTCTGGTACTTCCCCTCCAGATATCACGACTGGTCTGGTACTTCTCTCCTAATATCTTGACTGGTCTGGCACTTTTCCCCTGATATCTGGATTTGTCTGGTACTTCTCTCCTGATATCTGGACTGGTCTGGTACTTCTCTCCTGATATCTGGACTGATCTGGTATTTCTCTCCTGCTATCTGGACTGGTCTGAAACTTCTCTCCTGAAATCTGGACTGGTCTGGTACATCTCTTCTGATATCTGGACAGGTCTGGTATTTCTCTCCTGATATCTGGACTGGTCTGGTACTTTTCCTGATATCTTGACTGGTCTGAAACTTCTCTCCTGCTATCTGGACTGGTCTGAAACTTCTCTTCTGATATCTGGACTGGTCTGGTACTTCTCTCCAGACGATCAAACTGGTCTAGAACTTCTTTCTAGATATCCAGACTGGTCTGGTCTTTTCTGTTGATATTTTGACTTGTGCTTCATCAGAGCCCTATCACAGGTGTAAGTGGGTACGCTGTTATATGTCAGTATGTTGATACTGTGAAAGGTTTAAATCCGAGTGTGGTTGGAGGTCAGTTATATGTTTTACATTGAGTGTGTGCTACAAAGTAGTTGTGAGATTATTGTTGTTGTTTCCTACTATCGGGAATTTCTATTGAAATATAATCTCATTTCAGAAAACCAGGTCTTTGAACAATATATTCCCTTTTTAACCTCGCCATAATTGCATCTATATTAGTACCATGTCACATTATTTCTGTCCGATAACCTTTAATAAGTAATTTGTATTACAGTCTTTGAAATTCGCATTTGCCAATGTGTCATAATATTTCTATTGGTGTCAAAGTTGGTTCTGGTTTCCTTGTTAGCAATACTGGTAGTGGTGTCTATACTGTACTAGCCATACCATTACCGTGAATTGTCTAAGATGGCTGTAAAGATATGTGGGATATTTCATTCACGCAATCAAAAATTCAGTTTATGCCAGATAGACTGTATGTAGTTATATAGTTATAAATTAAAGGTGGCGTGTTCAAATTGTAATGCAGAGAACACTATGACTTTCTCCTCACCAACAGAAATTTTGAGCTCACAAATCAAACTATTTATCAACATTTTCACTCCTGTGTCAAGAACAGTTGTTACGGATCTAAGATTTTTTATATCAATATTTTAGAATATAAAACATTCCATATTGACCATATATTTCCCAAGTAAATGTAAAAGATGTTATCAGATTTTTTTTTATACTTTGTATAAACATACAGCTGGTGTTGGTTTAATTCTGAAGTATCATCATTATTTGGCTCCTATCTAGTATCAAGTCACATGGTATACATAGAGGTGTTTTTTTTCAGTCCATTGGTCATTTAGTTTGACAGCAATGAAATTGTAATTTTGGTTTTCTTCTGTGGTCATTCTTTTAAAGAAACGAAATTGTAAATTTAAGTAAAGTGAAACAATATCATGTGAAATAGTCATTCATACCAAAACAAGAAAGAGAATGTCAATGGAATTTGAATTATTTTGGATTATTTTAAGTAGTTCATTTCATTGTAGAAATTCATAAACCTTAGATATCTTGACTGTTTTGTTGGGTGTGGATTTTTTTTGATTTTTTTTTTAATATGTTATAGATTATGTTGATAAATAAAAAATGGTTAGTTTTGTTCTGTTCATATTATGAAATATTTCCTAGGAAGTGTATGAAAATTTAAATTTGTGGAGGTTATATTTGCTGCCTGACTAAGTAAATGAAATAGAAATCACACAAATTCAGTGCCATTCTTATAGGTAAAGTTAGTGAAGCGTTTAATATGACTATACATCAACGGCATTGCATGAAATTTCAACCTTGTGAATCCTTTGGATGGTTTAGACAAAAATCTGAATTGGAAAGATTCCAATTTAGACAAAGCAAACCATACAAGGACCTATAAACTTATATAAGATAGATTTTATCAAATTTCTTCTGAAAATTGTATCGTAGTACATTTATTTTTTTTTCTCATCACAATAATTTTTTTTTTTTAGATCAATAGACATTAGAATGGTAGAATTCTTACTGCATTACTGCAACTCATATATATGCTATTTGATGATGTACTAGGACCTTATATCAAACTATTCTATAGAAAACTTTGGAATGTAATAAATTATAGCTTAGATAATTTGTAGAGACATATAGGTGACTAGGTTTCTGTGGCTGACCCAAAGTCTGATTCTTATAACAACTATGAAAATCAAGGATCGTTCTTTGACCATATTTCATAGGTCTAAATGGCTGATTTTATTTTTCACAGAGTTTATGCTGACATACTTATGCTTAAAACCATTGTTTTTAGGATTGAGAATTACATGTTATTTCAAAAACATTCCCTTACTTAGGACCAGGATGAACTTAATTGTCGCCTAAATTCAAGAATGCGAGAACCGGAGCGTTGTCGTTCTGTTAATGTCAATTTGTCTTACTGCCTTAATGTTTACTGGTACAGAATGTAAATAAATTAGGATTTATGTTCATTTGTCCACCCCATACAGCAAACCTTGTTTACTTTCTAATCAGATTAGAAGAGTAAAGAGTACACTGTCGTAATATTTGTGCTATTCCGTCTTTGCATATTACAGAGTTATCTTCTCTTGGGAGCAGGTATTGATTGTTACGTCACTTGTTTGTGAGAGTAACGTCATCAATTTTTGAGAAAAGGACTTAATTTTTTCACACAAACCAATGACGTAACAATCAATACCTGTTCCCAAGAGAAGATAACTCTGCAATACGCAAAGACGGAATAACTTAACTTAAGTAATGTTATTGCATGTTGCCCTAAGATGTTAATGTATGTTGAAAAAATGTCTTGAATATTTTGTTTTGGAAAAGCAGGATTGCATGTCACAATAACTTTTTGTAGTACATGTAGCACAAAGCTAATTCTACTGTTGTGTAAGAAATGTTATTTTAAGTTTAGAGATATTTTTGGCTTCTGCATATAATTTTTTGCAAGTTGGAAGTTTGGGGATTGACCTTCTCTAGTAAAGTTGATACATGAATTGGAACACCGCAAAAGAGTATGGCACAGCATTGTAACCTTAAGCAAAGTTTTACTCTATACCTTCCTGTGTAAATGGAACTTGTGTGACCTGAATTCTTCTGTATTTTGATAAAAATATTTCCAGGTAGATCTCAGATTTCAGTGTTGACAAGTCAGAGTTGGAAAAATTGGCAAAAAAAAAACCTGCTTAAAATTACTGTTAATAGGAAAGAGAGAGCATCTACACCATTTGGTCCTGGAATAAATTTGCATGTGTACATTTCATGCAACACTATTAAATAAATGGTTATTTGGAAATATTTGCTTGGGGTTGGTAAATGTATGGTCTGACTCCTAAACAAATACTAGAGGCTCAAATGGAATGTGTAGTTGCCTTTATTGATTTGGGTGTTTTTACTGTAACTTGCCTGTTGGTGTCAGTGAAAATAGATCTCTTGTCTTTTACGTATACATGATAGAATTTTATTAATATGGCTACTGGAGATAATGTGTATATATAAACTGTATCCAATTAAATGTTTTCAATTTGTCTAGTTATTGTTTGGAGATAAGCATCATGGCTGTGAAGTTTGGAAAATAATCAAATTTCTTTTGTGCAATATTTGAATTATTTGTACTAGTATCTGTGCTGCCTCCCACCCATATAATTGTGAGCATTATGCAATTTAATTGATCCCCATATTTGTATACACTGGATATTACACTTGAAGCTCAGACGTTTAAATGTCGAATCACATTTGATGCTTCTATACTACTAGTATATCTGTACACAGAACTAAACAGCAAACCTTTGGACATGTGAGCTGTAAATAGATATTGGATGTATTCATATCTAATGACTGAGTCTATTCTCAGATCGCCTGGTCTATAACTGTGTAACTGTATCTGTGCCTATGTACCTAGGGATATTGGACATTGTCCAGACTCTTTGGCATTAGACAAGTATATATATACCTATGCTTCATCTAGGGATAGAGAATTGATTATCAAATGGTGTTTTAAAAGGTTATTTAGGCTTTGATTCCCCGAGTACAAGGGCCCCTCTCCTATCTACCATTCCCTAAACCATGTGCACACAATTTTAATGATGTTATATACAAGTATAACTCTGGGCTTTTATTAACAACGTCCTTACAGTAAGTATTGACACAAGTATGCTTTCTATGACTTTTCTTTCTATAACATTGTTGAGGTGTATAGGCTCCATGAGGACGGCATTGCTACTTAGCACTGTTTATTGAATTGATTACTTAACCACTGCTGGTAATTTGTAATGTAAAAATATGTTCAAAGTATAGTTTGGTTTGCTCAGAAACTATAAAAACCGTCAGATTGTAGTTTCAGCTCTGGAGACCTGCATTGTTGGAAGAAATGTTTATTAAAGATTTTATCCTAATAAGTTGAATATGTACATGGACCATGCTATTTTGAGTGTTGCAGTAGGAATCATGCTGTATGGAGAATGCTACTTTGAGAGTATACAGTATTGGCAAGCTGTTTTGGAGAGTATTGCATTTGGGATCATGAGGTTTTGAAAGTGTAACAGTATGAAGCACACTGTTTTTTGAGAGCATACAGAATGGACCATGCCGTTTTGAGAATAGCATAGAGTATGAACCCTATGCTGACAGTATGGACGTGCTTTTTTGAGATTTTGAGAGTATAACAGTTTTTGATGGCTGTAAAATGCATTGCTTGTTTATTATTATTATTGGTCGTTGTATATAAAATCATTCCATAAAATAGAAGTTGTGATAAAAATAGTAGATAGATATGTGGGCTTTGTAAACATCATCAATTTGTTTCCATGTATATTTTTATTAAGTTAAATTGAAAACTGATTTACCGGTTATAATTGTTTATAGTATTCCACTTTATTCCAAGTGAGCCTGCCATGCAAAATGTGCACCTTTCTAGTTTGTTTGGGTGTTTTTTGGAATGGCGGGGTCAGGCTGTTTTGTTACTGTAAAAGTTTTACATATGAGATTGTTATTTATACATATATCTTATCAGATTTTTGTTAATTTTATTGTGGTTGTTTAGCATATGATTCACTATAAGCGCACACCTCGCATGTACTTGTAAAAATTTCATACAAAGAAAGTAAGGTGCACACAGGCTGTCGCATGCGTTTTTAAGGTCTTGTATGATATCTAGCATCAAAGCATTATCGTAATTTGTGATGATATATGTAAAGTAGTAAAAGTCAAAGCCTTGTTGTGGTAAAATATATAATAGAACAGCAGTTTCCCTTTGTTATAATTTTTTGTATGATTTACATTGTAAGTTGCTTCTGCTAAAATAGATGGATGCTATGGTTAACTATTTAAAAACCACACAACGTTAATAAGTCAAATTCTTTTATTTTTTTAAGTTTGTAAATGGTTAATTTTTGAAGAATGGTTAAATTGTTACTCCTGTACAGGTTAGACTCGTTGGTGATGTTACTCCTGTACAGGTTAGACTCGTTGGTGATGTGACTCATGTACAGGTTAGACCCGTTGATGATGTTTCTCCTGTACAGGTTAGACCCGTTGATGATGTTTCTCCTGTACAGGTTAGACCTATTGGTGATGTAGCTCATGCACAGGTTAGACTTGTTGGTGTTGTTACATCATGTACAGGTTTGACCCGTTGATGATGTAACATCATGTACAAAGTTTGTAAATGGTTAATTTTTGAAGAATGGTTAAATTCTTACTCCTGTACAGGTTAGACCGATTGGTGATGTAGCTCATGCACAGGTTAGACTTGTTGGTGATGTTACTCCTGCACAGGTTAGACTCGTTGGTGATGTAACTCATGTACAGGTTAGACTTGTTGGTGATGTTACTCATGTACAGGTTAGACTCATTGATGATGTTACTCCTGTACAGGTTAGACTCGTTGGTGATGTTACTCCTGTACAGGTTAGACTCGTTGATGATGTTACTCCTGTACAGGTTAGACTGTCGGTGATGTTACTCATGTACAGGTTAGACCCGTTGGTATTGTTACTCATGTACAGGTTAGACTCTTTGGTGATGTTACTCCTGTACAGGTTAGACCCATTGGTGATGTAACTCATGTACAGGTTAGACCTGTTGATGTTACTCATGTACAGGTTAGACTCGTTGGTGATGTTACTTATGTACAGGTTAGACCCGTTGGTGATGTTACTCCTGCGTTGATGATGTTACTCCTGTACAGGTTAGACTGTCGGTGATGTTACTCATGTACAGGTTAGACCCGTTGGTGATGTAACTCATGTACAGGTTAGACTCGTTGTTGTTGTTACATCATGTACAGGTTTGACCCGTTGATGATGTAACATCATTTACAGGTTAGACTTGTTGGTGATGTTACTCCTGTACAGGTTAGACTTGTTGGTGTTGTTACATCATGTACAGGTTTGACCCGTTGATGATGTAACATCATTTACAGGTTAGACTTGTTGGTGATGTTACTCCTGTACAGGTTAGACTTGTTGGCGTTGTTACATCATGTACAGGTAGACTTGTTGGTGATGTTACTCATGTACAGGTTAGACTCATTGATGATGTTACTCCTGCACAGGTTAGACTCGTTGGTGATGTTACTCCTGTACAGGTTAGACCCATTGGTGATGTAGCTCATGTACAGGTTAGACTTGTTGGTGATGTTACTCATTTACAGGTTAGACTTGTTGGGGATGTTACTCCTGTACAGGTTAGACTCGTTGGTGATGTTGCTCCTGTACAGGTTAGACTCGTTGGTGATGTTACTTATGTACAGGTTAGACCCGTTGGTGATGTTACTCCTGTACAGGTTAGACTTGTTGGTGTGGTTACATCATGTACAGGTACACTTGTTGGTGATGTTACTCATGTACAGGTTAGACTCGTTGGTGATGTTACTCATGTACAGGTTAGACCCGTTGATGATGTTTCTCCTGTACAGGTTAAACTTGTTGGTGATGTTACTCCTGTACAGATAAGACCCGTTGGTGATGATTCACCTGTACAGGTTAGACCCGTTGGTGTTACTCATGTACAGGTTAGACCTGTTGGTGTTGTTACATCTGTACAGGTTAGACTCGTTGGTGATGTTACTCATGTACAGGTTAGTTGGTGATGTTACTCATTTACAGGTTAGACTTGTTGGTGATGTTACTCCTGTACAGGTTAGACTTGTTGGTGTTGTTACATCATGTACAGGTAGACTTGTTGGTGATGTTACTCATGTACAGGTTAGACTCATTGGTGATGTTACTCCTGTACAGGTTAGACCCGTTGGTATTGTTACTCATGTACAGGTTAGACTCGTTGGTGATGTTACTCATGTACAGGTTAGACCCGTTGATGATGTTTCTCCTGTACAGGTTAAACTTGTTGGTGATGTTACTCCTGTACAGATAAGACCCGTTGGTGATGATTCACCTGTACAGGTTAGACCCGTTGGTGTTACTCATGTACAGGTTAGACCCGTAAGTGTTGTTACTCCTGTACAGGTTAGACCCGTTGGTGATGTTTCTCCTGTACAGGTAAGACTCGTTGGTGATGTTTCTCCTGTACAGGTTAGACTTGTTGGTGATGTTACTCCTGAACAGGTTAGACTTGTTGGTGTTGTTACATCATGTACAGGTAGACTTGTTGGTGATGTTACCCATGTACAGGTTAGACTCGTTGGTGATGTTACTCCTGTACAGGTTAGACTTGTTGGTGTTGTTACATCATGTACAGGTAGACTTGTTGGTGATGTTACTCATGTACAGGTTAGACTCGTTGGTGATGTTACTCATGTACAGGTTAGACCCGTTGATGATGTTTCTCCTGTACAGGTTAGACCCGGTGGTGTTGTTACTCATGTACAGGTTAGACTCGTTGGTTATGTTACTCATGTACAGGTTAGAATCATTGGTGATGTTACTCCTGTACAGGGAGACTCGTTGGTGATGTTACATCATGTTCAGGTTAGACCCGTTAGTGTTGTTACATCATGTACAGGTTAGACCCGTTGATGATGTTTCTCCTGTACAGGTTAGACCGTTGGTGTTGTTACTCATGTACAGGTTAGACTCATTTGTGATGTTTCTCCTGTACAGGTAAGACCCGTGGGTGATGTTTCTCCTGTACAGGTAAGACTCGTTGGTGATGTTTCTCCTGGACAGGTTAGACCCGTTGGTGTTGTTTCTCATGTACAGGTTAGACCTGTTGGGGTTGTTACTCCTGTACAGGTTAGACTAGTTGGTGATGTTACTCCTGTACAGGTAAGACCCGTTTGTGATGTTTCTCCTGTACAGGTAAGACCCGTTTGTGATGTTTCTCCTGTACAGGTATGACTCGTTGGTGATGTTTCTCCTGGACAGGTTAGACCCGTTGGTGTTGTTAATCATGTACAGGTTAGACCTGTTGGTGTTGTTACTCATTTACAGGTTAGACTCATTGGTGTTGTTACTAATGTACAGGTTAGACCTGTTGGTGTTGTTACTCATTTACAGGTTAGACTTGTTGGTGATGTAACTCATGTACAGGTTAGACTCATTTGTGATGTTTCTCCTGTACAGGTATGACTCGTTGGTGATGTTTCTCCTGGACAGGTTAGACCCGTTGGTGTTGTTTCTCATGTACAGGTTAGACCTGTTGGTGTTGTTACATCTGTACAGGTTAGACTTGTTGGTGATGTTACTCCTGTACAGGTTAGACTTGTTGGTGTTGTTACATCATGTACAGGTACACTTGTTGGTGATGTTACTCATGTACAGGTTAGACTCATTGGTGTTGTTACTCATGTACAGGTTAGACCTGTTGGTGTTGTTACTCATGTACAGGTTAGACTCATTGGTGTTGTTACTCATGTACAGGTTAAACCCGTTGGTGTTGTTACTCATGTACAGGTTAGAATCATTGGTGATGTTACTCCTGTACAGGTTAGACCCGTTGGTGATGTTACTCATGTACAGGTTAGACCTGTTGGTATTGTTACTCCTGTACAGGTTAGACTCGTTGGTAATGTTACTCCTGTACAGGTTAGACCCGTTGGTGATGTTTCTCCTGTACAGGTTAGACTCGTTGATGATGTTACTCCTGTACAGGTTAGACTGTCGGTGATGTTACTCATGTACAGGTTAGACCCGTTGGTATTGTTACTCATGTACAGGTTAGACTCATTGGTGATGTTACTCCTGTACAGGTTAGACCCATTGGTATTGTTACTCATGTACAGGTTAGACCCGTTGGTGATGTTACTCCTGTACAGGTTAAACTTGTTGGTGATGTTACTCCTGTACAGGTTAGACCCATTGGTGTTGTTACTCATATACAGGTTAGACCCGTTGGTGATGTTACTCCTGTACAGGTTAGACTCGTTGGTGCTGTTACTCATGTACAGGTTAGACCCGTTGGTGTACTCATGTACAGGTTAGAACCGTTGGTGATGTTTGTATGGGTTATTCTTGTACAGGTTAGACACTTAGAGGAATAAAGATTTGGCAGATTTTTTGACGATTGTACAGCATTTGGATCCATGTGAAATAAGAATGTCTAAAGAAAACAAAATTGTGATCAATACTGTTATCTGGGTCGCGGATTTAAATATTCGACCTTCACCTTTAAAATCCCTTTTCGCCCAATACTATCCGGTGTTGATTCGCCTTTAAACGTGACAAAGATCTAAAATACTAGATAATATACAGATTTCTTTTCGTTGAAGTTCTGTATTCAGTAAAATTACTACATAAATGAAATATTCGTAGATATTTTCATTCGTTTCTTGAAGTCATTAAGATCGTTTCGTGGTACAAACTTTCGTGGATACCCCAATATAAAACAAAGATAAGTCAAGTATATCAGTTAAATTCGTTGTAGCTATTTTCGGGTTTCCGTGGCCTCCACGAAAACCACGAATGTTTATATACAATGATCATTTCATGGTATATAGTATGCACCAATGTTGCCTCCCCATCATGATGAAAATGATTAAGAGAGTACGTACAAGTTCTACTGTGGTGACAATCGCCTCATTATACAACAGTTTATCTAAATTCATAAACATTCCCAAGGGTTACATTGAATGTTTAATTCAATCAAATTACAACTTACTATATAGTTTTGTGACATGAATGAATCACATGCAGATATAGATTACGTTTTCAATGATTTGAGGTGTAAAGTTCGTAAAATTTGTTCTAGATATGGTCAGTAATGAACAAAAAAGAAAATGGCAGGTTGAATACTGTTACAAAACTTAGTGTATGCGTTACTAGTCGAAAGGCAAAGGTAGTGAGTGTATAGAAATATTCTTTATTTTGTCCATTGTTTTTATTTGGTAGTAATTTTAAGTTAACACGTAAGCTTCCATTGTAGAAGCTTATACTTGTATGTACAGAAATGTAGATGGTTTTTTATCAGTGTAATACTTATTTGAAATGATATGTAATGTGATCAGTTGTTCGTAAATGTTGTAATGATGGATTTTTGTCAATATTAAAAGATACACATAACAAAAGTGCACTAGTATTATGAGTGTTATTGATCTCTACGACTCCTCAGATTTTGATATTACATTCACATGTGTAAAACTTGAAAGATAACGACTACACACAAGAAAAAGTATGGGAGGTCAAAGAAGAAATTAACAGAAACCAATGAAACATCAACAAAGGGTTTCCACCTGCCTTAATTATTTATAAGAGACAAAACGAGTCGTTTTGGAGAAATATCTCAACATAATATATGAATCAATAGGAATCATCTATCTAGAAAATCAGGATTTTAAAAACAGTTTCAGATCAAGTAGCGATCCTTCTGTGACATGTCAACTCCGTCAGTAGGAGATTTGTTACTATTCGTGAAACGATAGGTACGAATGTGAAATTTTCTAAACCGATGGACTTGCAGGATCGTGCTCTCAATTATGATTGTTACAGTTATCTGGCGACATGTGGAAACTAGCTTCAAATTAAGACTGGAAATATTGAAAAAATGAAACAGATTCGACTTATTAGGTCACCTGAGCTTTGCTCAAGTGACCTACTCTGATCGCTTTCCGTCCGTCCTGCGTAAACTTTTAATATTTTCGACCTCTTAAGACCCAGTGGATGGAATTTCAAACTTCGTCAGAATCATCCTTGGTAGATAAGGCTACACAATTGTAAAATTGAGGTTCCACCCCAACCCCAGTGGCCAGGGCGGGGCCCCAAAGGGAAAATAAACCAATATTTCAAAATCTTCTCCAGACTCAGAGTTACTACAGTCAATTTCTGATCAGTAAGGGCTTTATTCAAATTGTAAATTGCAAGACCCCCGGACCATCCGTTCTCCCTTGGGGAGGGGGTAAAGTTTACTACAGTTTATATTGGGAAATTACACTTTTGGGTATATTTTGACAATTTTCTGTAGGAAATTGTTCTTACTTTGTGAGAATCATCATTGGAGGACGATGGCTTTATATTGTAAAATAGGGATTCCTACCCCAACCCCAGGGGCCAGGGCGGGGTCCCAAAGGAAAAATTAACCAGTAATTCAAAAATCTTCTTCTCCAGACTCAGAGGTACTACAGTCAATTTCTGTTCATAGATGGAAAGATCATCAAGGGATTTATTTAAATTGTAAATTTCAAGACCCCCGGGCCATCCGTTCTCCCTTTGGGAGGGGTTAACGTTTACTTTAGATTATATAGGGAAATTACACTTTTGGGTAATTATTCTTACTTGGTGAGAATCATCCTTGGAGGAAGATAGTTTCAAATTGTAAAATTGGGATTGCTGCCCCAACACTAGGGGCCAGGGCTGGGCCCCAAAGGGAAAATTTACCAATATTTAAAACAAAATGTATCCTTTGATGAAATGACAACTATTGTATTTCACTTAGTTTACATGTTGATTTCCATATCTTATTTTAACAATGAAATTGAGCTACCAGTACCTATAATATAACTCAGGTGATCGCCTAGGCCATTGGGCCTCTTGTTTAAAGTTTGTTCGTACGGATAGTCACGACGCTACAGTACTTCGGCATTGGGTGGAGACTGTATTTGCCAGAAAGGGGTCATATTCCATTTACACCAGGTAAAACCTGCACCACAAGCCTGTCTAAGCTAACGTACCATTGTACTTCAAAAACTAAATTATCCCAATCATTTTTTTACAGTAACTCTAATATAATTGCTTTAAAAGCAGCAAATGCTACAGCTGCTGAATTGAGATGACATTGTAATAACTCATTCTTCAGCATGTTTCTGTTGTACGTCTCCACACAGCCAGTTTTTACGGAAGCTTCTCATGAGGGTCCAAGAATCGATATTCTTTTATCAACTTGAACATGAATTTCAATATGCTGATTGATTCAGTTGAAGACTGCGCCAGACACTATGCAAAACGATAGCATGGTGAATTCGATTCAGTTTCAGGATGGGTTAAATGTATCGCGTCCATCATTAAAAAACAAGAATTAGCTGCTTGAAGTCCAAAATGAAAACTAAGCAAAACTCTGCATTGTTTTACACTGATGTCCAAACCACACTCGCTGGTTTGCACGTGAAGTACGTGTGTCGGTTAACAAAGTATTTAATAACTTAATGTCTGCAAACATTCACCGACAACGATAAGAATAAGGATTGTATGATTACTAAAACACATACTTATATTTTTCATCAATTGTTTTGAAAGACGATACGAAAGCTAATAATGCTTGTCAGAACTGGAAATTGGAAACGTAATCTTTCACTTTCAGATACAACCAACGCTAACCCCCATCTTTACTTTCAACATAACCAACAGGGACGGCTGACTATTATACAAGTCGAATGCTTTGAATATTGACTTTGATTTACAGATTGTGAACATGTTCTTGATAGTAACATCCCTGCTTCCCAACGGTATTTACATGTCGCAGTTGTTTTGGTATTCAAGAGCTTGCTCTGAATATCACAATTCCCGTGATAGATGTCGACGGGTGATTGACAAACCTATCAAAACAAGGTTTAAGGCGTTGCTTTTTTGATTTTTTACACAAATGACGGATTAAACAACCATTGTTCTAGAAATTTTTCTAACTGGAACTGTCGATTCTCTAACAGAAGATTTAGCGAAAATTATAATTACGTCCAAATAATTTAAAACGTTTACCTCGGTTATGCTGTTTTCTTCGTGAAGACAAAAACATATAATGAGTTCGAAATGAGTGAACGACCATAGGGTGCAGTAGTATCAGCATTTCGTTTCGCTTTCTGCTTATACAAACAAAACTTTCAAACAAGTGCTACATTTGATCGTATTTCTAGGGATGTTGACTCTGCTGGTGGACTTTCAATTCTCGAGTTTGGCGATAGTTGTGAAGCTGAAATTAATTCTGGCAGGGTTAAGATGGAAAAGTCTTTTAGTTATAACTTATATTTTGTATCCAAAACACCTGTAAATCTGTCACGTTGGTGTTATCTGCGCCTTGTCCTTCCCGATTAATTAACATCTGTTTCGGAACACTTTAGACATTGATGTTTTATTAATCCTGAATGGAGAAGTGGTTCTGTAAAATTGTTTCCTTTGTTTGATTTTCTGTTTCTACGAATACTATTTTCAATTAGGTGCTTCTATTTTTTGGTAATTCTAGTAATTGTTTTTCGTCTACGTTGTCTATAAGTATCTACAAATTGTCCCCATGTCGGCATTGTAGTGCTTGCTCCAGCCTCCTATCATACCTTGAACTGAATCAGTAGAAAAAAGTAGGTCAGGATGATGCCTCCAAGCTGAAAGAGATTACAGAAAACGTTAGACGAGGATAGTTGTACTTCACAGTATATGTCGTTCTCATTGAAACCAGTGAACAGTATGATAGGATAATGTTTACCATATATTTCAAATTCGCAAAGATAAAATTTGATCTCAATGTTGATGTAAAACGACCACCGGATATTAGGAGAAACCAATAAACTACAGGCGTCATATATTGATATACATTTTGTATAACCAAAACAAATTGAGGACTTGGTGGAATGCTGTTCTTAAATATATAAGCTTTATTATACAAAACTGATGTAACAGGTATTTATATCTGAGACTGTGAACACAATATTAATATACATGTACTAAATAAAATAGTGAACTTACCGTTAGTATGAACTCTTTAGTAACAGTGACAAACCCCATAGCCGTGAAACCTATTGCAGGCCCATTGAGTTTTGACAGGAACATCTGCAGCTGGATATAAAAAAGAAGAAAAAAAGGTACTGCACTATTTTCAAACATAGTTCAATGGTAAGGGCTAAATTCAAACTAAATTTTAAAAAAATACCATATCTTCCACAAACAAGGGCAAACACCGAAAAATTACGAATAGGGAAAGAACAACATCAGGAATTCAGATAGCATCCACATCAATTTTAATCTCTCCATTTTATGAATGTAAAACTTGATACAGAATACACACTGCAAAGCACCGGTATTAAAGTAAAGACATCTGACTGACTGTATTTTATATCCCTTAATAAATATCCTTGGTGCTGATAAATAAAATAAAAACAGTCTCAATCAAACTTTATTGTTCGAGGATTCTTTTCCTTTGTCTTGTACTTTTGTATGAGCTGATAATTGTCACTGTAAAGGATGGTATTAAATAATGTAACTACATCAGGAACAACTTACTTACCTCTAGCGATTCAAAGGCAGATGCTGCATTCATATCTACATCATAGATATGTTCCAAAGGAGAATGTGCCTGTAAGATAAGTAATTCACAGTTGTTACATTTTAAATGCTGTGTGTGTATTATGAGCTATACAACGTTAAGGCTTTGGACTTCATATTTCCCGATCCTAAAATTGTTTTCATGGTAACGATCTGTCAATGTTTTTGTTCTATGCTACCTTATTTTAATTGTATGGTGACGCTGTGGTACGTTTTTTGTTATACGTTACATTGTGTATTGCCGTAATGGTATATGTTTTGTTCTATGTTACCTTGTATGATGGCGCTCTGGTATATATTTTTGTTTTTTGTTACCCTGTATAGTGACGCCCTGGTTTATGCTTTTGTTTACTGTTACCCTGTATGGTGACGCCCTGGTTTATGCTTTGGTTTAATGTTACCCTGTATGGTGACGCCCTGGTTTATGCTTGTTTAATGTTACCCTGTACGTTGACGCCTTGCTTTATGCTTTTCTTTAATGTTACCCTGTATGTTGACGCCCTGGTTTATGCTTTTTTAATGTTACCCTGTATGATGACGCCCTTGTTTATGCTTTTGTTTAATGTTACCCTGTATGTTGACGCCCTGGTTTATGCTTTTTTATGTTACCCTGTATGATGACGCCCTTGTTTATGCTTTTGTTTAATAACACCCTTTATGGTGACGCCCTGGTTTATGCTTTTGTTTAATGTTACCCTGTATGGTGACGCCCTGGTATTTATTTTTGTTTTATGTTTCACTTTATGGTGACGCCATGGCATATATTGTTGTCCCATGTTAACTTGTGTATTGACGCATTGGTATATATTTTTGTTCTTTGTTACTGTATATGGTGACGCTGTGGTATTTATTTTGTTCTATGTTACCCTGTATGGTGACGCCCTGATATTTATTTTTGTTTTATGTTTCACTTTATGGTGACGCCATGGCATATATTGTTGTCCCATGTTAACTTGTGTATTGACGCATTGGTATATATTTTTGTTCTTTGTTACTGTATATGGTGACGCTGTGGTATTTATTTTGTTCTATGTTACCCTGTATGGTGACGCCCTGATATTTATTTTTGTTTTATATTTCACTTTATGGTGACGCCATGGCATATATTGTTGTCCCATGTTAACTTGTTTATTGACGCATTGGTATATATTTTTGTTCTTTGTTACTGTATATGGTGACGCTGTGGTATTTATTTTGTTCTATGTTACTTTGTGTATTGACGCCCTGGTATTTATTTTGTTCTATGTTTCACTTGGTGGTGACGCCATTGTATAAATTGTTGTCTCATGTTAACTTGTCTATTGACGCATTGGTATATATGTTTGTTCCTTGTTACTTTATATGTGACGCTGTGGTATATGTTAACTTGTGTATTTACGCATTGGTATATATTTTTGTTGCATGTTTAATTATGTATTGACGCATTCGTGTATATTGTTGTCCCATGTTAGTTTGTGTATTGACGCACTTGTATATATTTTTGTTCCTTCTTATTTTGTATGGTGACAGCCTGATATTTGTTTCCCTATGTTAGTTTGTGTATTGACGCACTGGTACACGTTTTCGCTCTCTCCTACCCTGTATGGTGACATTCTGGTATTAATTTTGTTCTGTTTTCCATATATGGTGACGTCCTGGTATATATTTTTCCTTTATATTACAATTTATGGTAACGCCCTGGTATCTGTTTTTGTTCTATGTTACTTTGTGCATTGACACACCGATATAAGCTTATTTTATTTTACCTTACACTTAACAGTATTTAATCATGATAACAGTTTAATACAATGCTGCTATATATGCTTTTCCTGTTAGCTGTTTTGTTACAATTAAATTGTTAAAACAACTCGGGAGATTTAGCAGATATTACGTACCTGTTCATTGACTTGGGCTGCTATGATGGAAACCGTTAGCGTGACCATCACGTTCATCACCAGCCAGGAGGAGAATGCTACGTATGCCATCGCTGACAACGGTCCTGATGTCACCAGCTGATACACAATGAAGCAAATGAGGAAGATATTGGAGACGTAGTTTCCTGAAATCAAGAATTGAATGTCCTGTTCCAGAATTGCCACGGCTTTACACAATTGAAGATGTTTTCGTCGAATGTCTTTTATCTTCTGTGAGATGCTCTGACCGTTGTCTTCTATCATTCGGGCTATATCATTATTTAAAGTGGAAAATTGGTTTCTTAGAAATACGAATAGAATAACCTGGAACAGTACCGGGAAAAGCCATGCTCCAGATTCCCAAATATGAAGACTGACGAAGACAAATTTTGCAGCAATATTTTGGTGGGGAAATGGGTTGGTAATCCCAGGTGCGAAGTCTTTGTTATAATCAGTTGCCAACTGTACAGTAATTCCAGTGAAACTGATAGAAGCACACAGCCATGCTACAATTGTACTGGAATTGACCAGTTTCGACAATTCTCGGGAGTTGAAATCCATCGGATTACTGCACGTGGTGGTGTCAGTAATACTTTTATTAAAATTCCGGTAAAAACTTCGTAGATGGCTGCGAGACCAACAAGCTCTGAGCATGACAACCCGGTTAATGAAACATTGTATTAACCAACTTAGATTGATGATCCTCCAGACAGTGATATCTGGTACGTAGTCTAATCCCACCCAGAATGACGGAATGTAACGTATAATGTTGAGACAGGAAATAACTGCGGAGCAAACACAGTACCATTTGAAAAATTGACATTTCTGAGACTTGGGCCTTCTTTCTTGTCCGTTTTCAATATTAGAATCTAAAAAAAATACCCCAAAGATCTGCATTGAGAAATGAATTGGTTTCAGAACGCAACATATGGGGGAATAGTGCATGTTGGAATTCGTGTCGCGGATCGACGTCACTTTGTTTTCCATTATTACATATGATGTGTCTTTGTCTTTGCAGTATCAGTAATCTAGCCAGCGGGAATCCTGCAACCAACTACTAATACAGTTGTCTCACAATCCAGTCTCTTAATTCAACCACCATTAATTAAGCTTTTCCACTTTATCGAGCCTGTTAATTCAGTCACCATCAATTCATCCGTTGAACTATGTCCAACCTCTTCATTCAGTTACCATTAATTCATCCGTTCAACTATGTCCAACCTCTTCATTCAGTTACCATCAATTCATCCGTTGAACTATGTCCAGCCTCTTCATTCAGTTACCATTAATTCATCCGTTTAACTATGTCCAACATCTTCATTCAGTTACCATTAATTCAGCTGTTTAACTATGTCCAGCCTCTTCATTCAGTTAGCATTAATTCAGCCGTTTAAAAATGTCCAGCCTCTTCATTCAGTTACCATTAATTCAGCTGTTCAACTTTGTCCAACCTCTTCATTCAGTTACCATTAATTCAGCTGTTCAACTTTGTCCAACCTCTTCATTCAGTTACCATTAATTCACCCGTTTAACTATATCCACGCTCTTCATTCAGTTACCATTAATTCAGCTGTTCCAATATATCCAAGCTCTTAATTCTGTCACCAATAGATTAGTTTTACCACTATGTCAAGCCTTTTTATTTTGTCACCCTTAATTCAGCCGTTCAACTATGTCCAGCCTCTTGGTTCAGTTACCATTAATTCAGCTGTTCCAATATATCCACGCTCTTCATTCAGTTACCATTAATTCAGCAGCTCCAATATATCCAAGCTATTAATTCTGACACCACTAGTTCAGTTTTACCACTATGTCAAGCCTTTTTATTCTGTCACCACTAATTCAGGTGTCCCACTATGTTCAGCCTCTTAATTCAATCACAATTAACTCAGCTGTTCCAATCTGCCCAGACTCTTAATCCAGTTACTATAAATTCAGCTATCAAGCTTCTTAATTCAGACACCACTGGTTAACTTTTACCACTATATACAGTCTATTTATTCAGTTACCACTAAATTCAGTTTTACAACTTTATCCAGCATTTTTATTCATTCACCACATACTCAGTACATTGTATATAAAGCATTTTGCTTCAGTCATCCAGCCTTTTTCATTCTGGTACCATTAATTAAGCTTTTTCAATTTATCAAGCCTCTTTATTACGTCATTATCGATCAGCTTTTCCACCTCATCAAGGCTTTTAACTCAGTCCCAACTAGTTTAGAATTCCCACTATATCCAGCCTCTTAAATCAGCCACCACCGATTCAGTTTAACACTATATCCAGTCTTTTAAATCAGCCAAAATCGGTTTTCCCATTAACCAGCCAATTTTTAAAATCCAATTTTGTCCCAATAACTTGCTGAGAACGAGGATGGCTTAATAATCAACGATCTAATGTAATACATCAGGAACAAGACAAATACTCGTATCACATATTTTCCCCGACATACGATCCTAAAGGATGAATAATCAGACCTCAGTGAGTATTTATGTCTATTGTACTGTACTGTGCTGTCTATTTATACTGTAAAAAATGTCAGATATTCCATTAGCAACAACGCTTGTGTAAATACACATCATACTGAAAATCAATCACTTAAGGATAATTTTCATCTGCAAAATAAATGATCCCATTTGTTCCGTAATTGTGTTTTACAACCTCGGTACTTATTTCTGCTATAACAATTAATGAAACCATTGATTTTTTTAAAAAGCTTTACCGATATCGTTGATTTGCCCTTCTGTAATCATTGTATATTTATCCATTAGCGTAAACTGGCTTCCAAGTATAATCTTTCAAAAATGGTGTTGCTGATATAACATGCTATACTCCTGAGTCGAAAAACCTTTCAAAACAATTATTGCTATTAATATTTCATTGGTGATCTTTTCATGTATTCACGAGATAGATTACTAAAATATGGATATGTATAAGGAGAGAGTCGCTAATGTACACACACAACTCTGATAGACACAGGATATACAATGCGGGATGATATAGGTGATAAACAACCTAAACTCTAATTGTGATCAACCTGCTATATTAATTCACATTTTGACTAATACATCATTATATCAATCACAATGAAGATCTATATAACCAAACCAATCGATTAATTTCCCTTGTGTCAATAAACGTTAAGTTAATGTAAATATTGTCCATAGGGTAACGTAATGAAATACAGACCAGCGTAATGAAAAAACAGATATATCAGAAAAACATAGGGTAACGTAATGAAATATAGACCAGCGTAATGACACAACAGATATATCAGACAAACTGAGGGTAACAGGATGAAATATAGACCAGCGTAATGAAACAACAGATATATCAGACAAACATAGGGTAACGTAATGAAATACAGACCAGCGTAATGAAAAAACAGATATATCAGAAAAACATAGGGTCACGTAATGAAATATAGACCAGCGTAATGAAACAACAGATATATCAGAAAAACATAGGGTAACGTAATGAAATAAAGACCAACGTAATGAAACAACAGATATATCAGACAAACATAGGGTAACGTAATGATATATAGACCAGCGTAATGACACAACAATTATATCAGATAAACATAGGGTAACGTGATGAAATATAGACCAGCGTAATGAAACAACAGATATACCAGACAAACACATGGTAACGTAATGAAATATAGACCAGCGTAATGAAACAACAGATATATCAGACAAACATAGAGTAACGTAATGAAATATAGACCAGCGTAATGAAACAATAGATATATCTGACTAACATAGGGTAACGTAATGAAATATAGACCAGCGTAATGAAACAACAGATATATCATTCAAAGATAGGGTAATGAAATATAGACCAGCGTATTGAAACAACAGATATATAAGTCAAAGATAGGGTAACGTGATGAAATATAGACCAGCGTAATGAAACAACAGATATATCAGACAAAGATAGGGTAACGTAAAAAATAAAGACCAGCGTAATGAAAAAACAAATATATCAAACAAACATATGGTAACGTAATGAAATACAGACCAGCGTAATGAAACAACAGATATATCAGACAAACTTAGGGTAACGTGATGAAATATAGACCACCGTAATGAAACAACAGTTATATCAGACAAAGATAGGGTAATGTAATGAAATAAAAACCAGCGTAATGAAAAAACAAATATATCAGACAAACATAGGGTAACGCAATGAAATAAAGACCAGCGTAATGAAACAACAGATATATCAGAAAAACATAGGGTCACGTAATGAAACAACAGATATATCAGACAAACTTAGGGTAACGTGATGAAATATAGACCACCGTAATGAAACATCAGTTATATCAGACAAAGATAGGGTAATGTAATCAAATAAAAACCAGCGTAATGAAAAAACAAATATATCAGACAAACATAGGGTAACGTAATGAAATACAGACCAGCGTAATGAAACAATAGATATATCAGACAAAGATAGGGTAACGTAATGAAACAACAGATATATCATTCAAAGATAGGGTAATGAAATATAGACCAGCGTAATGAAACAAAAGATATATAAGACAAAGATAGGGTAACGTGATGAAATATAGACCAGCGTAATGAAACAACAGATATATCAGACAAGCATAGGGTAACGTGATGAAATATAGACCAGCATAATGAAACAACAGATATATCAGACAAACATAGGCCAACGTAATGAAACAACAGGTTTATTCTGCAAACATAGGGTAAAGTAATGAAACAACATATCTACCAACAAACAACATTAGGTAACGTAATGAAATAAAGGGTACTGAGATGAAACAAGAGATCTATCGGTCAAACATAAGATAACATAAAATCACATACGGTACCGTTATGAAACAAGAGATAAATTCGACAAACAATGGGTAACGTAATGAAACATAGGGTACCGTTATGAAACAACAAATCTATCAGACAAGCATAAAGTTAAAGTAATAGAAAATAGGATAACGTAATACAATGTCTGTATTACCAGACAAACACAGTGCAATGTTATGTAACGTCAGTGTTACTAGATAACATTGAGTAGGGTTATGAATCATCTGTATTTTAGTTCTATTTGCGTAACGGAATACGTCCCACCTGGGAGTACTTAGTTCCATCTTCAGTTTCTGATGGCTCCTTGTTTCAAATTTTTGTATTCACTTTGAGTTTTCATTTGTTCTTGTGTATTGGCGCTATGGTATGTGTCAATTTCACCTGTAATTGTCATTCTCAAAGAAATTTATATCCTTATATAGGAATGTAAA